CGGGGCTGGGGACAGGCTGGTTGAGAACAACCAGCAGCACTTGCAAGGTCGGCACAGCGGAGGAGGAGGTGGAATCGCCGCCCGTGCCCCCTTCTGTGCCCCTGCCCGCTGCCCCAGCCCTGCCCGCTCTGCTGGACACCCTCCTGAGAGAAGCTGCCCTCTCACCGAGCGCCTTCCCACTCATCAGGCCCGGCAGGAAGGAGGTGGAAACGATGAGATGGTGGCGCCATGGTGGTCTTGATTGTGTCTGCAGCACTGAGCTCCCATGTAGCCGCTGTGTCTCGTGTGTGGGTTCAAAGGAAGGGGATCACGCTGCTACCTGGGTCCCTGAATGAAACAGCTGTAGAATCACAGAACAGTTTGGGTTGGAAGGGACCTTTAAAGACCATTTAGTCCAACCCCCCTGCCTTGAGCAGGGACATCTTCAACTAGACCAGGTTGCTCAGAGCCCCATCCAACCTGACCTTGAATGTTTCCAGAGATGGGGCATCTACCACCTCTCGGGGCAACCTGTGCCAGTGTCTCACCACCCTCACTGTAAAAAATTTCTTCCTTATATCTAGTCTAAATCTTCATTCTTTTAGTTTAAAGCCATTACCCCTCATTCTGTTGCAACAGGGCCTGCTAAAAAGTGTCCCCATCTTTCTTATAAACCCCCTTTAGGTACTGGAAGGCCACCATAAGGTCCACCTGGAGCCTTCTCTTCTCCAGGCTGAACAACCCCAGATCCCTCAGCCTGTCCCCATCAGCAGGCAGGCAGCAGGGGCTGCTGCTCCCCTCCTGGGCTGCAGGCAAAGCCAGCTCCAACCTGGGGATGGCGGCAAGGGCCTGGCACGCACCCAGCCCCGTGCCAGCGGGTATCCAGGAAGTGCTGAACCCCCCTCCCCTCCACCCGGTGGCAGCGGGGAGCACATGTCCCCGGGGAGCTGGGGACCTCCCCCCCAGCCCTTCCCTTCCTGCCCTCCCCGCAGGGCCCGGGGCGGGGGGCCTGCTCTGCCCGCAGGGCCCAAACCGGTTCCTCCAGGGCTTGTGTGCACGGGGGGGCCGGGGTGAGGGCAGAGCCTGGAAGCAGTCTGTTGCGTGGGCTCTGTTGGGAATGCAGCAATCGTTTCGGGGCTCCACAGGCAGCTCTGCAGCCCACGGTCAGTGCAAACCCATAGCCCTAGGGCAGGAATGGGGACATGTTGCCCAGCTGGGGGGCAGCTGCGTCCCCCGCGGCAGTGCGAGGCCGTGCCACGGTGGGGTGCTCCCTGCACCACCCACAGCCAAGAGGTGATCTGAGAATCACTGCTCACACCAGACCAACTGCTGACTGTCCGCAGGGCAGGAGCCGCCCAGGACCCCTGCCTGGCCGGCCGGGGGGGGAAACACACCGGTGTGGGCTGGGAGCACGCTCAGACCTTGCGCCACTGCTTGGAGGGGTCCAGGCTGGATCCGTCTCCATCCCAGAGTGCCGGGGGTCCCTGCAGGCAGCCCACATGAGGCCCAGAAGCATGGCAGCCCCGGGGGGGCTCTCGGCGGTGCCGAAAGAGCTTTGGACAGACACGACATCCCCGATGGCTCTGTCTGCCTGCTCAGCGGGAGTGATCGTGTCATTCCAAAGCCATCTCTCTCTCTGGGGACAGATCCTGCCCGGGCACCACTTGCTCCTGCTGGTACCAGGGAATCTGGGGGGGCCATGGAGAGCCTGGTGCGGGCCAGCAGTGGCAGGAAGCTCGTGCAGCATCTCGTGACCCATGCTGCCCCGGTGCAGGTGGCCACATCCACCCTG